ACTTGTTGGTCTTCGACCTTCAGCAACCCCACAACAGAAGGGTCCTCTGAGAGACCAGGCAAGGTGGACAGCTGTCTAATTTCCTCCGTTTCCAAGGCAGCTATACCAAAAGCCCACCGGTACCCTTTTGGGTCCTTGAAGTACCCTCTCCTGAGGTAGTCTATGCCAAGGATGCACGGAGCATCTGGGCCAGTCACAATGGGGTGCTTCTGCCACCCATTCCCAGTTAGACTTACTTCGGCTTCCAATACAGTTAGCTGTTGGGATCCCCCTGTCACCCCAGAAATACAGATGGGTTCTGCCCCCCCTATAGCTTGATGGCATTAGGGTACACTGTGCACCGGTGTCTACTAGAGCCTTATACTTCTGTGGGTCTGATGTGCCAGGCCACCGAATCCACACAGTCCAGTAAACTCGGTTGTCCCTTTCCTCCCCCTGGCTGGAGGCAGGGCCCCTCTAATACTCATCACAGTACTCATTTCTCACTTCTTGTACATACGAGTCAGAAGTTTCTTCATTAACATCAGGAGTAAGATCAGCCCTTCTACTCTGTCTGGGGAACGGCCCGCTGGAAACTGGAGCAGCAATTTTCCTGGAAGAACCTCTTCCTGTGATTGTTTTCCCTTGCAATTCACGTACCCGTGCCCCTAGGGCTGCAGTAGGTTTTCCATCCCACTTCCTCATGTCCTCTCTGTGGTCACGCAGGTAAAACCATAGGGTGCCCTGTGGTGTGTACCCTTTATAGTCTCTCTCTTGAGCAAAAGAACGCTGACTCCTAATAGCCGAGATACTGGTCCGTACAGGTGAGGAATAGGACCTATCCTCTCTGAGTTGCTGGATCTCCCAGGACAGTTTCTCTACAGCCAAGACGAGGGAGGAAGAGAGACTTTCCTCATTTCACTTGCCTGCGAGAGTAGGGTGGTCTTTTTAGGAACACTGCTTGTATTCTCTGCTGTAAGAAATCAGTCTTTACTCTCTTCCTCCTATTATACAAAGTAATTCATAGGTTGAGGAAGCAGAGTGCAAAAACAGCTGCACAGGCAAAGGCAGATGATAATTTACTTAATTGTCTGTATCTCAGAAATTCTTCTTTATGACCCTTACTTCTACCCAGTCACGGCTCCTGAGTAATACTCCTGTTTTTTTCCCCTTCTTTATAAGCATGTGAAATGAGCAGATATGAAAGTAAAAGTTCAATTCATTTAGAGGAAAAGATAAGAGCATACAAAGTGGTACCCAAGAAAAATGCTTTGAAACATAACAGGATTTTTTCCATGCAGGTGTAGCTTACCTAAACAATGTTTCACTACTGTTGCAGTAGATGACTTTGTAGACTATTTAGGTGAGTTTGCTGCTTAGTGATTGTTACGGCGTATTTGCCTTTTGATTGATTTGAAGTCTTAAGTAGGTCAGTTGTGGGCATAAGTAATTAGTGTGTGAGTCCGATTCAGGATAATCTGTCTGATTATCTTGCAAAGTATGCGAAGTAAATGGTTTATTTGAGTTTAAAATTTCATCTCAGCAATATGGACCAAACATCTGAAATAACTAGTTGCACTTTTGTACTTACATGTCTCCGTTCATCCTCCAAATTGGTGGAAAACATCCCATTCCAAACAGGGCCCAAAGATCATTGATTTCACTTCACAAATACACATAAGCTTACCAGTTTCAGCAGTGTATATTGAAACTAAGTAGTAACACGATGTAGCTTGTGTACTCAAAAATTAGATGCCTTAAAGCTGGAGCTGCACTTTGAGATTTTGTGAGAGCATGTATTTGTGAATTTTTAACTCTGTAAGAGCCAATAGGCTTTTTCAGATAGGTAGAATTTCTAAGTGTGTTCTTCAAATATAGACTCTGTCTTGATAAATGTTAAACAAGTAGTAATGAGCTGGAAGGAAGACTCAAAGGAGCTGCTTACTCAAATTCTATGAGGACCTGGGGAGTGGGAGGGAGGCAAACAGAATAACTGATGCTTTCCATGGTAATGTGGATTCATACCTTTTTAAAGATGCAACTAAATCATCTCTGCCAACAACAATTTGTTCCTGTAACTGTCATAATATGTCTGAAGAGCAAATATTTTGTTTTTTGAATAATGAAAACTGAGCCTGGTGTCTGGTAGGCTTAAAACATGAAAGAGGGGAGTCCTTAGTTAAGAGGAGGTTTCTTAATTTCATTATCCCTTCCTTAACATCTGCTGATAACAAACTAGGCTGAGAAGTTTTATGCGCTGTTTTATCTCTCTGAGAAAAATTTCACATAAATTTCTGAATCTGAAATTCAAGTTTAGTTTTTCTTTGGAGGAAATGGAAGAATGATTTTTGAATCTATAATCTTAGACAAACTTTGACTGGAGTCTGTTCAAAGTGCCAGTGCTGTAGAATGAGTCTCTGTAGGGGATTTAGTTGTATTATAAAAAATAGACAAGTATGCTATAGGTTTGAGATTAAATTACCAATTAAACACACAAGCTAGTGGTTTGTTTTGTTTTGTTTTGGGTTTTTTTTTTTTTTGGCTGGTTGGAATTAATGACGTCTGAGGCAAAAATCCAAGATATGAGAATGAGGTTTCTGTATTTCTTTTACTTTTCTCTCAGTTTTTTTCCTCATTTTTCCATTCTCTTCAATTCACATTCACTTTCTTTTTTATGTTTTTAAAGATCACTGTTAGAAAGTACATAATTTTATATATTCTTTGAATTCTACTGTGGCTGCTATCGAGCATGAGGTACAACAAAGATAATTTTTTTTTTCTTGATAAAGCAAAATTTTTAGTGCAGAAGAAAAATATCCTTCATGCCTCCCTACACTATTTACTGAACATTATCTGTTTACGGTTGGTTATTTTAAATATTTGCTACGCAAGTTATCTGGATTACATTACCTTTCTCATATGTTGAACTGGTTGCAGGGTTTGTCCTTGCTTGGACATATTTTATGCTATGTAGCATGGTATGGTTTTTGGGTTTGGGGTTTGGTTTTTTTTTTCATTTTGCAAGAAATGTTACCATATTTGTAACAGTGTGTGGATAGAAGTAGTGGTCAAAGGGATGGAATAAATTTACTAAATATGGAGGAACCATGTATAGAAAAGATTTGGATGTGGTGGTGGGAGAAGAAATAGAACAATAAAAATATTTGCAAGGAAGGTGAGAATGTGATGTGTAGAAAAAGTGAAGAGGTCTACAGAGGAGAGGCAGACATTCAAAGTAACTTGGAAAAAGTTACAACAAAGGTGTCTTAAAAAGTAAAAAATGAAACAAACAAGGAGGGAAAGATACAAGCCACACAGAAATAGTCATGTATATTTTTAATGACTAAGACATTTGCTTAATACGTAGATTAATTTCTCAGCACATCTTCAAATATATTTTTCACATGCCTTACTGTCACACTAGCTCATTAGTGGTTTAAATAATAATTCATGAAGAAATTATTTCTGCCAACCTTAGTCTTATAAGCAGATATGTGAAATTAATACTTTTTATATGATTTAACTCTGGCAATACTGAAAAAAAAAGGTAGTCTATTGGCTATTAAGCTAGTTGTCAAATGTTACAACACAGTGTAGCAGAAAGGGCAGAGAAGATTTACTTTGTGCTCAGTAATTGTTTGTTTGTGCAGAGTAGGGAGAAGAGCGCACATATCTTGAGGAGGAGCTGATATTCAAACTGCTACTCAGACTCTTAAAATTGCCCCATCCTTCTGTGGTTATTGCTTTGTGAACAGTTTCCTTGTGCAGTGTGGGTGCTTTGGATGCCAGTGCACTGACACTGTTCAACACGCGGAGCAAGCCCTGCTTACCCCTGCGCAGCTTGCTTTGTATGCAGGGCTGCTACCTATAATACCTGTGTTTCTTCTTCTGAGTGAGTACTCTTGAGTTCAGTGGTGACGTAGTTACTTTTTTTGCCCTATTTGTTACATGTAGGTTTAAAAATCAGTGGTTGTTGGATAGGACTTAAAATGTATTTTTACATGTTTTTTCTCAGCACATTTTCATTCTTTTTCCTGTGTGACATGCATGTGAGCCAGATTTAACCATTCGGAGATTGAAAACCCGTATACACGTTATCAGCAGTATTGTAGAATAATCTAAAGGTATATTCTCTTTTTGATAACTTTTAATGTTTCTGAACACGTTTCATTAAGCTTGTATATTAAAGGCAAAGGAGTTGCATTTTTGTCCTGAGATAAAAGTTTCATCGGTTTCTTACTACAGTTACAGTGTTACTGCTAGGAAAATGTCTTAGATAAATGCCATTTTGATCTAGGAAGGGAAGGGACAAAACAGTATGTGGAATTAAAACAGACTCCTGAAGAAAAATGCAGAGTTCTAATATGCGTTTAAGAGTGAGGGTGTCTTAATACAAATGTCATAAGAATAGAATGCAAGTATCTAACACAGAAAGTTGAAGGTGGTTTTTTTTTGTGGCAGTGAGATTTTACTGTACGTGGGTACCCTGACACTGTGTTGAACAGAATTGTATTATTTTCCTTGAGCTGCAAATTCAGGTAGACTTAATTACCTTTTTACAACTATTTTGTATCATAATCTTTTCATTTGCCTCATTTAATAGTTATTTCTCATTATCTTCACGAATTCTGGAGAATTTTGAATATTTTTGGTATGCTAAAAGTGCAAGTGAAACAGTATCCTAATGTGTTTTTAATCCGTAACCACAAATATAACTTCTGCAAGTGTCTGTCTTTGTCTAAGCTTAACTGAATAATTTCCATTCAGTTCTGCATTTATGGGCTCTTTTGTTTAGTAACAGCAAGCTATTGAATTCCTCGTTTACATTACTGTGTCATATAGTCATGCAGTTCTGAGTATGATTAAAGTACTAATGAAATGAAAATAATGAAATATAAAACTACATTTATCAGATTGTTACATCTCATAGGTCTAAAATGCACAGGTCTAATATTCAGTACATGCATGTTCTTTTACAATTGTTTTTTGTCTAGTGACTGATTATTTTTTTTTCTAAATAGAGACTCACAGGACAGCAGCAGGAGATAAACAACTTAATACAGAAAAAAATTGCTGTGGATGAGGAAAATGCCCATTTGAAGAATGAATTCAGTAACTTGGACCAGAAATTTAAAGATAAAAGCCAAGAACTTAAGGTATATTGACTTGTACATAGTTTCATAAGACTGTAGCTTTGAAGTAGTTCTTTAAGCAGTGTCAGCCTTTGTGGCACAGAAAGTGACAAGCTTGGAGAAAAAATTGCCTTAGGCCTTGCTATACCTTACCGTTTTTTCACATACCAACTCTGAGGAAGATGCTTTAAAGCCAAGAATCCAAGCTTTATAACTTTCAGATAAATAGTTAATGATGGAAATGGAGCAAAGAAAGTAGGAGTGTGAAGATGTGGCTTCTTGTAATTAGATTCTGATGGGACTGGCATTATTAATTGATAAAGCCGAGGTCTGGGAGGATATGTCTGTGTGGGTCTCAAAAATAGCTGGGGACAGCATCAAAGGCAGCTTGATCAATTAATGGGCTCTTTGCAAATGTGTACTCATCAAAGCTGTCATCCAGCTAAAAAATATGACCCTTCCACCTGCATGAAAGAGGCCAATAAAAGTACACAGGTGACCTTGGCCATCAAATATAGAAGAAGCTGCTGTGAGGGTAAAACTGCACAGTTTATATTTGCTGATTAGTTCTCACTTTTTTTGTTTATCGGCCCTTGTGGTACTGTTCTACAGGACACTGAGGAGTGTGCACAGAATAAGGAAGAGCAAAACAGACTGGTTATAAAAAACCCGGAGGAGGAAAATAAGGGATTAAATACATGCTGTGCTGACCTGCTAAATGACCTGGAGAAACTGAGGAAGCAGGAGGCACAATGGAAAACAGAAAAATCTGGCAATGATGCCAGGATAAAGGTACGAAGTGGAATGGACTCCTGGATGTTATTTTGGAATTAACTTCTCCAGACATTTGCACCACAAGTTATTTTCTTTAAATAACAAGTTATATATTCAAATCTACCAGTGGGGACTTGCATTCATTTACATTCCTTCACTTAAGACCCACAGCTTTTTAAAAATTGATGTTGCAAAGCAGGAGTCTGACTTCAAATAGTCATCTTAAAATGTAATCATTAAAAAAGAAAAGATACTGTATTTTAAGATAAAATATATATATGTGAAATAATAAAAGCTTAAAAGTATTATCGTTCACAATTTTTTCTCAATGTATAATTTACTTACCTATAATTTGATTGCAGTAGCCTTGATATTTGTTGTTTTGGAAGAACACTTTAAAACTTTAACTGCAGTTTCGAATAAACTGTGTCCTAGCCTCCAGAGGGCTTCACTCTGTGAGAGGCCTTATTATTGCATATAATATATTAAAAAGTTATTTTCACTGTTTATGATAAATTGAAAAAGGAAATAATTGAATACATTGTACAGACTATTGTATCTTTTATTTAAATGATACTTTGTCTTGTTTGCTGGTGGAAATTGGCAAGTTCTTTTTAAATTCCTGTAAGAAGTAAGCCACAAACATGGTATCAAAGTGTTTTATGGCTGCTTATATACATGCCTATTTAGTGGATTTTTTTTTATTTACATGGATAATGAACACTTACAACGCTATGCTCTTTTACACTATCAAAGTACATGACCTTCTGGTATACTCAGTGTACTAACTATCTAATCAACATCTTGCCCAGAAACATCTTTTTTCCTCCACTAGCAATTCAGTGGTTTTGGTGACACTTCTGATTGTTGTGCTGATGGAAACCTTTTGTGAAGAGCTTCATTCAGATTTGTTGACATGGGAAGTAAAGCTCTTTGAAATTGAGGCCTTTGGAGTGATTATGATGACAGGATTATAGGATTCCCAGGACAACGAATGGTTTGTTGATACTTGGGGGAGAAAATCTAGTGTGTACTAAACTGATTTAATAATTTTGAAGTTGTCAAATCTGGTGTTTGTAATATTGGATAAATTATTGAAAATCACTGTTACCCACACCTTCAGTGAAAACAGTCAGGATAATTTTTAGTGTATCTGTCTTCCTGGCTGATAAGTCATGCTCAAGAGAGAAAGGTGTGTCACAGCCATGTGATTCCAGGGATGGGAATAAGTAGTGTTGGTGTTTCAGAGTGGGGTCACAAGAGCGTGACAGAGGTAACTTCTTGAGATGGGTATTCCCTGAGCCAACCAGGAATGACACACAGCTGGATCTGCTCTTCATAAACAAGGAAGAACTGATTAAGGAAATAATAATAAATGGCAGCCTTGGCTATAGTGACCATGAAATTGTGAAGACCAAGATCCTGAGAAGATGAAGGAAGGAGAGTAGCACAGTAGACCTGGAATTAAGGAAGAGAGTCTTCAGCTTGCTCAGGGAAGTGGTAGGTGGAATCCCATGAGAAGAAGCACTGAAAGGTAAAAGCTCAGGAAAACTATCAAGTCTTTAAAGACAGCTTCCTCCAAGCCCAAGTATGGGCTACCCTTATTCTCAGGAAAACGAGTGGATATATCAGATCAGCTTGGCTAAACAGAATTAATCACCAAACTCCAGTGTAGAACAGGGGGTGGAAAGCAGTATTCAGGAAGTGGAGACAGTGAAAGCTACAAAGAAGTTCAAAAACATTGTCTGGGCACCCAAGGATGGTGGTAACCTACCTACAGTTGAGACTTGCAAGTGATGTCAGGGTATAACAGGAGTTGCTTGCACAACTTTAGTAGTAAAAGGCTGAACAAGGAAAACGGGAGCCTGTTGCTGAAAGGGAAGGATGAATTAGTGACAGCAGAGGTACGGAGTATCGTCTTTGCCTAAGTCTTCTCCAACAAGATTCCACCAAGCATTTGTACTTAGAGGCAGAGTTCAAGGAGAAATACTAAGAGTGGATGAATTAGGAGATACATGAGAGAACTTGACTAGTACACATCCATTGGACCAGCTGAACTGCTTCCAAGGGTGCTGAGAGAGTTGGCTGATGTCACTGTCAGGCTGCTGCCTGTCGTCTTTCAGAAGTAGTATAGAGATCAGGGGAGGTCGTTGATGAAAAGGATAATCTAAGAACAAAGGTCAGTTGGCCTTATTTCAGTCCCTGGGAAAATCAGAAAGAAAGTTGTCTTGGAAGTAATTTCTGGGCACATGACAGAGAAAAAGTGACTAGAAGCAATGGATTTACCAAGGGTGAATCGTTCCTGAGCAACCTGATTGTCTTTTGTGATAAAATGATTGTGTCTGTGGACAAGAGGAGAGCTTGGATATGATTGACCTTAACTTTAGCAAGACTTTTGACGCTGTCTTGCTGTATGCTTGTACCCAAGTTAGGATGTTACAGCTGGATAGGTGGACAACAACATGTTTATAAGAACTATTTGATGTTTGGGCTCAGAGAGCTGTGGTTAATGGGTTGTACTCTGTAGGCTGGTAATAAGTGCTGTACTGCAGGATCTATCCTGGACCTGTTTTGTTTAAAATCTTTATCAATGACCTGGAAGAGGGGACAGTGGGCATGTTCGTCGAGTTTGCAGATGAGGCCAAACTGGGGAGAAGTGGACGTGCTTGAGGGCTCTGCTGCCACCCAGGGGAACCTTGATGGAAATGGGCCAACAGGAGCCTTAACCAGGACAAATGATGAGTCTTGCCCTGGGAAGGCAGAGCCCTGCAGCCATACAGGGGCCGGGGATCAGCTCTGGGGGACAGCCCTGGGCACTGGCAGGCAGCAAGTTGCACTGGGGCCAGCCCTGTGCACCCAGGCAGCAATGAGGGCCAGCAGTGCCTACAGAGGCATGAGCAGGGCATGGCCCTGAGAGCCAGGGGTGGAATCAACCCCTTCTGCTCAGTACCCCAGGTACTGCACTCATTTTTGGGTGCAGTACAAGAAAGACATCAGTAAACTGGCTGGAGGTGAGACACTGGGGCTGGAGACCTTGCTTTGCGAGGAGAGGCTGTGGTATGGGCTGGTTCAGCCAGGAGAAGGGATGGCTCTGGGGCTGGGGCCATCCAGCAGCATCTCTGGCACCAACAGTAGGGGATGGAGGAGATGCAGCTGGGCTCTTCACATGGTGGCAGGGTGAGAGGCAGCACAAGCTGAAAGAGGAGAAGCTGAGACTGGAGATAAGGAGAAGCCTTTTCCCCAGGAGGACAGCCCTGGAGTGGGGCTGGGGCCCATGAAGGTTGGGCCATCTCCGTCATTAGGAGATTTGAACCCCTGATTTTGTAAAGCCCTGAGCTGCCTGGTTGGACCCCCTAGCTGAACCTGCTTTAGGCAGGGGCTGTGACTGGAGACCTCCCCAGGTCCCCGCCAGCCTGCATGTGTCCATGGGTCTGATGCCCCACCTTCTGCCTTTCCTGCTACCTCCCCACCCCCTTCTGTGATGTTAGACAAGTGACTGTACACCTTTGCTAGTGGACAGGGTTAGGTGAAGTTGATTATCTCACGAGACTATTGGAAGGGTTGAGAAGCATGTTAAAAATACTATCTGCAAGAGGGAAATGTTACATTTGACCTCTAGGAAGTAGTAATGTGTTGTTTCATTGTTTTTTATCAATATTTTGTAAAATAATAATTTGTAAAAACAGTTATTTTTGTAGTTCATCACTGTTTTTACATATACTTTTCCTGTAAATACTTGCTTGAAAATTTAAGTTTCAGTTTGAATTAATTTCTCCCTCTGTTCCTGACATTCCCCATTTCTATTACTTGACACTCGAGAATCAATATTGGATGCCAGATTGGCTCTTAACAGAATGCTTATAAACAATAAAGAATAATAATTTCCTTATCCACAGAGGCCAAAGATGACATTATCACACTATACATATCACACAATATATCACACGATATTGGGCTGCAGATTATGTTCTAATATATACCCCCCAATATAACATGTCCCTGAAATGCTTTTAAAAAGTAATTTATGAGCAAATTCAATAATGGAATTGTATTGTTCTCAAGTGATTGTAAAAATGGTTATAGATAAAATAATTTGAATTCAGAAATTATATCCCGTCTGAAAGTCAGTTCTGCCTCAGCCTTGAGTTTGGGAGTTGAACCAGCATCTCTTTTTGTACACGTTTTTCAGTAATAAACAGTATATTTAACAATATTGTAGATGATGTATATAGACACTATTCATGTTTAGTCTCCTCTATCTGTGGAAGAATAAAATGAAACCTAATCAATGTAAGCTACCCCAACGTTTTAAAAATGTGTTTTAGATGATAGAAACGCTAGGTCTAAATAACAGATTCTTCTTTTGGAAAAGTGGCCCTCTGTTCAGAGACTGAACTAAGTGTTACTAGCCCATTTTTTTCAGTCTTTAAATGATTTTCTGTGAAGAAAAGTGTCAGTTGTCACTTTCAAAGACTGGTTGTTTCCAGATGTACTATAAGCTGAATTGGGGTATAAAATTCAACTTTTTCAAACTGAGACAAAAAGCTTCTATGACTAGTTTGTCCATTTAAGGAATATTTCTTTAAAGATTTGTCATATTAGCTGAAAGCTGAGTGAGGCAGATTAACAGGAAGAGACCTGATAAGGTGGCTAAAAGACTGGCAATTGTGTTTTATTGTGTCCTTCCCATATATACCTTCATATAAATATTGTACAGTGTACAAAAAATTAACATAGGGCTTTGCTTTCTGCCTTAAAGTAGTTCTTGAGAATTACTCTCCTGTGCTTCCCAGGGCTTATATCAGCTTTCTGTATCTCCCAAAAATGCACAAGTGGAAAAGCTGTCAGTCAGCCACCTCATGCATGGATGTGTCTCCATATTTAAGAATGAATTAGGTGTTTGAGTTATTTTGTTGTTCTTTGGGTGGATGTTACTTAAGTTATTGTTTAATAATAATAAGAATGTATATTTTCTCAAACTCAGACAGGCACAAAAGGCTTTGTATGTAGACACAAAAAATGTCAGACTGGCAGATTTTAAGTGGAGGTGACCTAAAAGATAGTGAATTTCTTACTGGTTTTGTTTGTTTGTTTGTTTGTTTGTTTGTTTGTTTGTTTGTTTTCTTCCCCTGGTTGGCAAAGTATTTTTTAAAGTCCCTAAAGTCTGAAGATGGGAGCTTTTAAATAAACAGGGAGAGGTGTTCTCTTTTAAAATGAAACACTCTGAGAAACAGCCATATCTGTGAAGAGGAGCCTGGGATTTTAGTTCCACTGAAAAATGGGAGTTTTCTTGAGAATGGGACCTTGGAAAAATACTCTCACTTTTGTCATAATACATAACAAGAAAAAATATGAAGACAAAGCTACTGTATTTGAAAGTGACTTTGTAAGGGTTTGAAGCTACAAATAACAAAACCCTAGTGTTAATTCACAATGAATCCATAATCTATGCACAACTGTGCTGCCTTGTGCCTTGTCTGTGTGTTATGCTTTTCATATTTGAAGTTCTTCTAAATTCACCTTTTCTCTGATTTTTCTGACTTTATAGTTCTTGGTCTTGAAGTGATCAAAATATTCCTGTAATGTTTTACCTTAAATTATTATTCTGCTATTTATCTTCATTTCATTTTAGTTAGGATCACCACTTTTCATAGCTTGAAATAATGACTAGACTTATTTTTCACGCTTCAATTGCAGTACTGTTATAAAGAAGTATCATATCTTTTACCATCTTGTATTTCTCTCTAAAATAAGCATTTTCTTCCTCATATAACTGAATTACTAGATGTTTTGACTTACTGTACTTGAAATAGCACTTACTTTGCTTTAATATGCTTTAAAAGATTGAATTCTAAACAGTCTGTATGTACAATTGAAATTAACTTTAATTTGAAAGTCAGGTTTAGGAGAATTTATATTTAGCAAACTTCAAGTCTGCATGTTTATGCAATGAAGCTACCTTCTCGGCTACTGTATCAACTAAAAGGCAACATAATAAATTCCATGTGATTTTAAAAAAATGGAGATGCTCAGAAATGGAGTGTAAAATATTATAGGTTATTTCATAATCTTAGATTTCTGACTTATCTACAAAAGCTTTACTGAATGCCTCAATATATGGTATTTCAGTGTATATAAGCTATTTGTATAACCAGTCCATCCTTGCCCCTTTTTTCATGTTTTGTCCTTTAAGTAATGTTTCTGATTTCCAAAAAAAGTCAAGGTTTCAAAATCAGTTCAAAAAGTTGAACTGAGTAATTTGTTAGTTGAAATCAAAATCTGAAGTTGCATATGTCGCAAATGGGATGAAGTATTGAAAGATACTTTTTTTCTGGTTTTAAATTCTGCTGTTGTATAAATTCTAAAGTTGTATTTATGACAAAATCATTTGTTACCTATTCTTTGTATTGTACCCTGCAATGGATGATGGGAACTTAAGTATTGGTAAGGTCAGATTTTTTTTTAAAATCTCTACCATGAAACTCTGCAACTCTATAGTGTGGTGTGAAAGGCAAATAGGATTTATTCACAGAGAATGTGAACTATTATAATTTTTGTTCACATATACAATAACTTTTAGCTGATGTGTAAGAAAAACTACTGAGGAGAAACCCTAAGATTATTTGGCTGTAAGTTATAAATACTTTATTACACTTCAACATTTTCATGTGTTGATAGAATGAATGGTCTCCTATCATTCTGAAATCTTTTGTTACCTGAGAAAAAATAATTTTTGCTACCTGGCTTCTTGAGATTGAATGATGGCTCATTAGTCAGGTACACCAGGTATATAGCTTGAGACTTATCATGAAACAAATAGTTTTCCTACCTCACTTATGAATTTTGCTATTTCTTCACATTAATGTTACTGTTATTAACAGGACATGATAATTCCTGTCCAGATTCAAAGAATTTGATTGTAGTGCTCTTCTGATACATCCAGATATGTATAAGACATTTTTATGCTATTTTAAAGAGAAGATTAATTATTTGCTTTCCAGTTATAAAAATGTTTTGATACCTTCAATATTTGAGGCGTCTTTGCTGAAAGGGAAAGGTGTGCATTTCTTTAACTGTATGTAAATGGAAGATAAACTAATATACTGTTGGCTGTAGATTAGGGATGCTATCCTACTAGGAGGTATTTATTTTAAATAATTGATGAATCCTGGAATATTTGCCTTACTGAGAACAAGTGATTGTGTCTGAGTAGCATAATACCAAAGTAGGTCTAAGGCTGTTGCCACTTTCTGAAACTCTGGTCTAGATATTGCTGTAATATTTCTATTTCTATTCTTGCCTCAAAACACTCTGGGAGAGTAGTCATATGAAGCTTCTTAAGGACCGAAGTACTCTTCTAAGCTGCTACACCTCCAGAGAACACTAGTAAGGTCACTATGGTAGAGATCAAAGTCTTGCTTGAGTAAGCTGCCTTGCTCCTATATTTTCCAGATATACCATCACACTTTGTTGACTAATGTCTATAGTAAGGCTTACCGTAAAAGGCAAATTATTGCTTGTTTACATTGTTTTCAACGAGCATTTCCAGAAGTTTTCTTGTACGCTGTTTCTTTTCCTGAAGAAACTATTCCTTGCACTGAATTAGAAGTGCAAAATCAGAGCAAATTTAACAAGCAGTCTCAAAAATGAATCTGTATCCATGATACTTAGTTCATGTGTGCAATATTGTGCAATTTTTGGAGAACTTAAAACAATGAGTGTACAGCTGTTTTTTGTTAGGAGTAGTTTTTTTCTGTTTGATTTCTACACAGAAAACAAGGCTTACTCAGTTTAATAGTTCAGTAGTTAAATGGTGTACTACTGCTTTACAAAGATTTGATTCAGAATTCTCCTCCACATGCAGCAAACCAATGAATTAAGGAAAACTTCCTACAGTAAAGAATAGGTTGCCACCGAAAATTTGAAGTATACCTTTTTTTCTGGTGTTTCACATTTTTCATACATGCACATATACCTATATATATTTGCTTAGACCACAATAAATATATGCATATATGTATGTGCACATCCATATGTCTATATACATAGATAACACGCATAGCAGATTTTAACTCTTTCTTAGACATTCAAATGCTTTCTTTGCAGAATTTGGAAACTGATTTAGCAGAGGCAAGAGAACAAATGAAAGAGTTGCGCAGTATATGTGGTGACTTGTCATCTCAGGTAGCTGTGAAACAAGAAGAACTGTCTCAAAAGGACTGTGATGTGATCAGAGCTAGGTAAGTATTTCATGATTTCATTAAGTCTGAATCTTTTAAAAAAGACTATTGTTCCACTTACAAAGCAGTATCTTGCATTAGAGGTATTTTTGTGCAACAGTGTATTTTCATACCATTCTGTTCCACAAGATGTAAAGCTTTTGGAAGTCTACCAGTAGATGACAGTTTATGTAGACTCTCTCTGATACATTTCGACTCTTAGTTTATTATTATCATCAGTTTTTGAGTAGGGATGGACTTTAAAAATTACATTTCTGTAATTAGCATTGGGTCAGAGAACTACCAATCTCCACTGAAAGTAACAAAATACCAGTATGATTAGTGACACAAACATTTAATTGGAGAGGCTAAATGCCCTAAACTTGGAAAAGCTTTAAGCCTAACTTTAACTTTTTAATTAGAGTCGAATCTGACGAGTCAGCAAAAGTCTGCATAGGCCTGTGCTAAAGGTTTAAAGTGCAGTGGTTTAAGCTTTATCTCAGGTCTCACACATCATTTCTTTACACTGAATCTGTAAGATTAGTGCTGCATTATTTGAGTTGTGGAAAAGAATGAAGGATGGAATGAATTATATGAATTGACTAGACTACTCAATTCCTCAAAATGAAGGTAATGGCAGAAGACAATTGGTAACTTTAAGTGGATTGTCAGGAAATTGTCCGTTTTTCACTTGTTAGTTTCTGAGGCATGCACAGTGTTAGCACTCCTGTGTTAGACAAATAATATTCCCTTCAATATTCCCTCAAACTGTGGTTATGCCTGAAGAGCTGCAGTTGGGATGCAGAAATCATTGGTATGGACACTTCTCTTTGCTTTCCAAACAGAAATAGTATTATTGTAGGGAGTCAGTATCTAAGTCTTTTTGGGGAAAAAAATAGAAATATGATTTTTAATGCCTCTGACCTAAATTGCTGTTCTAGTATTTGTTGAAATCTTTACAGGGAAAATGATGTCTTGTTATATTCATATTTAAAAGGTATAATGGTTGGGGTTTCAAAAGTCAATAAAAATAGGCAAGCTTAATGGGAAATTGTATTGAAAGAGTCAATCACTGGAATTTGTGAAATTCATCAATGGACTAATAGGCTTTATTATCTTCTGAAATTATTCTCAGAAATATATGTATGTGTGAGAGGACTAGGGACAGCACAGAAGATGTTTTTAAAGTCAGGTAATCAAGGTTTGCAAAGTTACTGCTTGTTCATTGCAGTTTAGGATATTGCAGACTGAGTTGGCCAAATCATTGAATAAAATTTCTCAAAATGTATTCTTTGCTATTCACTGCAGAACAACCTCTTAGAATTTGTCACAGACATCCTGTTTAAATATGTGATTAATATAAGTACTTTTTTGAATATAAGGTCTGAACCTGAGGTAACAATATGGACAACATACTTATTTTGGAGTGTTTGAAGTCTTTTTGTGTATGTTTTTCCATACAACCAACCTTCTAAATTTTTGGAAAAGAGTTTTGCAAACTGATCATATAAGTTTTTCTGTGTGCTTAAATATTTTCCTTCTTAGATACTTAATTGGTTGATGAATGATAGTGTTTTTCCATATCATTATTATGTGAGTTATACTTGATAGGTTATATATATGTATACATTTGATTTGTAGTAGTAGACTAGTAGTAGTAGACGTAGTAGACATTGTAATTCAATGTCTACTAATCTTTCTTAATGAACTGTCTTTGGCTACAAGTTTCTTGCTGATGTTTCTATTATGAAAAACAAAGGCTTATGCTAAATGCTTTATAGAAAATTCACAGTTTCAAGCAGTAGTTTCAGTAGTTAGCAATATAAATGAAGAATTTAAAATATTCTGTATTTTTGGTAGTACAGAATACTGAAGTTTCTCCTTATCTTCTCAAGGTGTCAGTACATAGATAAAACTTTTTCTGTTCATTCTTAATTTAAAAAAAAATCAAAATAATAAAGGTTTATGAAGAAAAAAGCCAAATTCTTACTTAAGTTAAAGAAAGCAACAACTCCAGAATTAAAGGAAAAAATCAGAGGAGAAAATAAAGTCTTTACATCTTCTCATCTCCTAGGACAAGATCTCAGAACTGTGTTGACTTCATGATTGAAGCATTTGGTTGTTCCTTATTTTTAACTGATAATTTTTTTTTTTTTTTAGTTATCCTTGTTTAAAACTTAGTCTTATAAATGTATTGCATTGAATGCTCACTTTTCATTTAACGCTGGCAGAAAATTCTTTGACAAATAGTGTGGAAAATACCCCATCTCCCTTACTATCATCAGTTTCAAACTTTTGGACCTGACAAAGACAATCTGATTTGCAAATATCTCTGTTCTCTCCATTGCTCTGTCCCTCTCTCCCTGTCTGCTGCTTGCCTTCCCCACCCTCCCCTTTTTGAAAACAGACCAGGAGCATAGTCGTAATCATTAGAAACAAGCTCTGGAGGAAGAAAGGAAGGAAACTGTCTTCCTCCGTTTGGTGTCTTCTTTTATATGCAGTATAGGCAGATCCAGAAAAAGTCTTTCAGCTGACACCTTAGTAATACTGTCTGAAATTTTTGCAGTAGATGCTAAAATCAATTGGAAAAGAAAGTCTCTAAGGGTCTGTGCAAACTGGTCTGGTGCTCTGTTTCTTGTGCAATCGTAACTTCTTGCTCTGTTCTGCCTATCTGTCAGTTAGCAAGAGTTTTTTTTCCAGTTTAACTGTAACTATATCTGTAGACACTAAAAGAACTGTTTTCTTTAAGGGGCAGTTTTTCAGCAAATTAGCAGGGACCAAAATTTTGAAGAATTACTCCAGTCTTAATTCTGGTCCTACAGAATAGCAGGTGTTTTTGAAAATCCCACCCAGTGTCAGTAAAAGCCTGTCACATACTTCTGAGTCATGAGAGAGAAATTTTCCAAGACCAGTGAACAGACAGCATTTACAGGATCCATCCTGCACAGTGGATGTCTTCAAGAAGCCACTGCCTTTGCTGGCTTTATTTTTGCAAAGCACTCTTGATCTTGCTGAGTTTAATTTCAAACTCCTGAAGCAGGTGTGAAATGCATTTCCTTGTTATATTTTTCATATTTGCATTCAGTACAGATTTTCTGGATCTATTTAGAGTCCCTGGTAGCCTTTCCATTTTCATGTTCTGGAAGAACATTAAATCTTGCTGTTTGTTTCTGAAGATTAACTCCAATGCATCTCTGCAACTTTTGTTTTAAAATTATGCTAAATATCAGGATTTAGAACTTTGTGTTTACTGCTGAGCACTTGGTGGTCTGTGTCTCACTGGCACAGAGCTCTGGTGGAACTCTGAATATCAAACTGGAGATGTTTGCTTGACTCGCTGAGACTTGAGCCTTGCTGTCACAGGTATCCAGGAAATATTAAACTGCTTGTGAATATAGTAAGCTCTATTCTGAAAAGAATTAGAATTTCTTGCCCCTGTGTTCTTACTGGATGTGTGCCAGGACTTCATTCCTTTGATTAGTTTCTAATGCAAATCTATCCCTAATAATTTTATAACCACTTCTTTTGTAACAATATTGCTTTTTTTTTTTTTTGCCCCACTGTTGCGGTTTACCTCCATGCTGTAAATTATGAGGCAGTCGGATTTCTACTCAGCCCTTATTTTGCTGCTCTGGGATTTTCAGATTATTCTTTGGTGTGTGCTGTAAACCATTTCATAGTATCTATGCCATTCCCCTGAGAAGCCATAATTCATAGTGCCTGTCACTGTGTTGTATTTCTAAACTACAGGTAATGGAATCTGGAGATTTCCTGAATTACCTCAAACCCTCTTATATTCCCTTGGTAGCAGGGGTAGCTGAGGTACTCAGAATCCCAGCGTATTCACCAAAACTGTGGTGGTGAAACAAAACCAACATCACCTGAAGTGGTGGGTGTGATGAACTTCACCTCTATTTGCAGCACAGTTATATAGCTTCTGGAGTGACAGTAGTTATTAATTTCATTTACATCTCTGGGAAGCCACAGTTTACTCTTAAACTGTTGGTATGTGCAGGACATAAAGGTTTTGTTTAACATTATCCTCTAAGGACAGGAGGAAACTTTAGTTCACACTCCTGTCAGATGTAAGCACCAGAGCTATCTCTGCCCTAAAGAATAGTATGAATCTTAAATATTGTTATTGGCAGGACAAGGTGTCAAATCTTAGTGTCTTCACGTAGTGTCAACCTTGTTCAAAGCAAAATCTACTAAGGTTGTTGTAATCTTACTTTAGTGGCCGAAATAATTTAGTTATGCTCTTCTATTTTGACTTGAGAAAAAAATGACAATTTTTCGCAGCAGGCTCTTCCTTATGACTTGAAGAGTGCAGCTCACTTCCTGTAAATTTCTTGGTTTCTCATTGTATTGGTCTTGAGGTGTTAGATTAGAGACAGGTGTTTTTTTTTTCTCAGTAGTATCTGGCGACTTCAATTGTAAATGGAGTTTGTAAATACTCTCAGTGTATCATGGTGTGTTTGTGTATGGGGAGGGTGGGGGTGGCGGGGAAAAAAATAGACCTAGTAGGTGTTTCAATTTTGATGGTTAGCTGAGACAATGTTGTTTTTTTGGTTAGTGTTGCTGATGGTGACTTTTTTCTTAAATCTGTGTTGGTGTTTGTTTAGAGTGTACAGTATATGGAAACATTTTATCAATATGTGCTTATAATGTACATATAGATGCATCTATACATACATATATACAGGTGTGTATACAGGCACATATATTTTAAATTCCACTCATTACCTTTGTTACATCCAATTTGCAATTTTTGATTATTTCTTCTGTTAAATGCTTGTCTGAGGGTATCATTTTACTTAGGACTTGACATCCTTATCCTGCTGCAGTGACAGGCAGGTGTCTCTCTTGTAGAGTGCTTAGTAGTTTGCTGATTTGAGTAAGCATATTAATAGACATTTTGATCAGAAATTCATTTTTATCTTGTAGCTGTTTTTCTGATTATCATGGGATGGATTTTGTATACTCTTTTTGAGCATGCTGCAAGCAAATTAGTAACAGAATCA